AAGACCTTAGTATCTGTTCTTTTAATCAGTTTTACAGCTTAAAGAAATGGGTGCACTCCTCATAAGGCGTGTTCCTTGTCTTATGAGTCAGTGGTTGGGCGCTTTTTTTTTTTTCCTATAAAAAAATGCCTGATGTATCTCTCTGAAAAAGCAAAAAAGATCTAACTTTTCCTTTCAATAGTTTGAAAAGATAGTAATAGGAAACATGTACCTTGTCAGTGATGGCGTTATTTCCTAATATGCTGTTCCTTCTGAAGTCACCGTGGTGTAATAAGTAAAGCCTGATGGATCCATTTATTACACCAGCTCTTCTGCCTGGCTGTGTTATGTACAGGAGTACTCCAGCTAAATGCTGATGCTTCTGATTGTAGTGGCTTTCAGAGATGGGAGCTTTTCATCTAGGCCTACCTTATGGCTTTCATTGCCTCTTAAAAAGGCCCAAACTACATGGAATATTCTACTATAATGCTGATGTTAAGGCTATATAGGTTACAGTATTTAAACAAACAAAAAAAATCTGTATTGCTTTTTTAATTGTGTGTCGTGGCATGTGAGGCTGGATTTCAAAAGGAGCAGTTTTTAACCTGTAGCAATGATGATTCTGTGTATGGAGAGAGTATCATTTAGGTCTCTGGAAGTGCTCAGGTTGCTAAAGTGAGCTTCAGTCCAGACCTCAATATTTGCTAATGATGAATTAGTCTAACACTTGGCAGCTGATGCTGTTGAGGGAATCAAGAATGTATTTGTGGTTCACTGTGGCTCTGGGCTGGTGACACATCTCTGGCTATAAAAGCAGAGCTAGCACGCCAGGGTGAGAATTCACCTGCATCTGGATGGTAAAGTTATTTGTGCTCCTTACATGGGGCTTTGAAGCACTTGGAAGTTTGGTGTCAGTGATGCATCTTGGCAAATGAACAGCAGCGCGCTGGCACAGGCTCACAGACCTCTTTTACTGGAGTGAGTGAAAATCTGGGCATTCTCTCGTCAAAGCATGAAATCCTTGTCCTCAGGCATATGAGCAAAGTGAGTTTGGGGCAACCTTTCGAAGTAGGGTTTTTTTTTTCATAGTGCTCTTTGCTTCTTCCAGGGGTATAAATGCAGCAATGTCCTGTGAATAAATTCGTTTTTAAGAACTGTCTGGTGCTCAAAGGATTTTTGTAATTCCATGATGGGTTTTCCACATTTGCATTTTTTGGGAAGACCGCTGTCTGCTGCCTGCATAAGTGATGACTGGGTTTATACTGCTAGTGAGTATGATGGGAGAAGGAAATCTTAGCAGACTAGAGTCAAGACATGCTCTGTTATAAAGTCTGCTATAGGCTGCCCTGAGCAAAAGCAGCGTGATGCATCTGTCCCACTGCCAGAATGATCTATATAATGTTGAATACCAAGACATTGTTTAGATCTGTCCTGTTCAAGCCTGGTAACTTGTGGATCTCTGTTCTTAGTTACAGTAGTACTTGGGCAGCAGTGGGCAATGGAGTGAGGCAGATAGGTGCAAATGTAAAATATAGCAAATTCTCAAACTTCCACAGTTAATATTTTTAAGGAATGCATCACCGTTTCTTTGTGTTGACCACCTGCTGTTTTCACTCCTCTTTCTCTGCATGCTTGATATATTTCTCCCATCTGTCCCTTTCTCCTCGGCGTAATGATGGGACAGAGGTGCTGCCTCCTAAGTCTTCATCTCCTCAGAGCTTGTATTAAAGCAATCTCATGACTCCATTCCTCCCTAGCAGTATGGAGGTGTTCACGTTGCTTTCTCATTTCCCCTTCCCCCATTCTCTCTGTGCTGTGTATAAATATATATGTACTGTAGTTTACTATCTCTGATGATCTAAGTAGAAATACTACACACACAAAGCTTGAAATAATCGGTGTTGATCCATACACGTATATGTACACATAAAAACATACATATGTTGGATGCCTACTATCTTTCACTGTAGAATAGTCTTTGTATTGTCTTTTTATGATGTGAAATAACACATCCTTCTTTGTAACTGGCCCTTCAAATTCTGTAAGGAAAGCTTTTTTTAACAAAAAACCCAGCATTTTCTTCATGAAATTCTGTTAGGATCAGCTGTGCTTTGAACTGTTCAAAACTGTCGTTTCTGTTGAATGTTTTCCTCAGGAGATATTTTTAGTCTGATAAAATAATATCTAGAGAGAAAAAGTAGCAAGAATAACATCTGCTTTGCTTGGAGAGTCTGAGAACATGGACCTGAGTCCATCTGCTGCAGGTCACTGCCTTCCTCTCCTGACCTGCAGGCTGCAATGTGAAAAGTTCATGGTACAGACTACTGCTGGATGAGGGGAGGAAGCAAATGTTATTGTTAATGGTTTACTGTTTTCTTTTAGCAGAACCAGCCTTGGAAATTTGTACCAAAATCCCCCTTAGAATAGATGACTTTGCAACTAATACGATCTC